CTGAGGGACCCCCGGGAGGCCCTACAGCCATGCTAGGCCCCTGAGAGGTCTCTGGTCCTCTCTGGCCTTCAGCTTCCCTTCTACAATCCCTGAGGTCTTGCCCACCTCTACCCCTTTCTGTCCTATTCAATATGCCAGTGGTGTCTGAGACCATCTGGGCTACTTCATCTGGTGGCCTGGGTTTCTCAGGTACAGGTGTGTAACCTGGCATGAATCAGGGTTTTGCTCTTTTTTGGAGGAGGAGATAATGGTTGTCCCTAGTGTCCAAAGGGGAAGTCACAGGGTGGGGACATAGCCTTCAAGGCTCCCAAAGGACTACTTAGAGGTCATTAAAGCCCCAAAGATGTATCTCCCGGCCCCTTCCATCTCCCCATGTGTCCCCAGTCCTGATCACCTCAGAACAACACACATCTCCCGCAACACACACGTGCCTTCCTGCTGGGGAGATGGAAGGGGCCGGGACTGGTTCTCCACTTATCAACCCAGACACGGGCCTCTAGGCCTCGAGTACAGGGACCAAATCCTCTCTCCCTGAGGATTTTAATCCACTCAGTCCAACCCTCTCATATCAAGGACAGGGATGCTTTTCCACCTCAGGAATGGAGGCCAAAGCACCGGCTGTCCCCCACGCCCCAGGAGGGAGGCATCCAGGAACAGTGTGGATGTTGGGGTGGGAGATGGAGAGAATGTGTCCAGAGGAGGGCGGTGGCCGAGGGACAATGGGTGGAATCGATATTGGAACCCATTTCCTCAATGTATAGCTAATCCTCTTACCCTTTCTGAAAAGTTACCAGGAGCTCTTAGAACCTCACAGATATGAGAACCCAGCCCAAGCGATAGAAAGGAGTGTGCCACCTGGGCCCTCCAAGCTGTCTCCTCGTGTTGCTGTCCCCCAGGGCCTCCTGCTCCACTCCTCCACTCTTGTTGCTGCCTTTTTCGCCCTGGTAGCGCCTCTCCCAGGGATGCCTCTCCTCTCCATCCTCTGCCACCACGGGGCCAAGTGGGCCAAGCCTGGACCAGCTCAGTTTCAGCCTGAGGTTTCCAAGTCAGACACTTTTATGAACAGCTCAAATGCTCCTGGAGGCTGGGGACTGAGCACTTTCTCATGGAGCCCCACCCCGGGGCATACTGCCAGAGCATGAGTGAGGGAGGCAGTTACGGGGGGTGGGTGGGGGGGAGTGAGAAAAGATGGGGGAGGAAGCAGACTGTTGAAGTGCAGGATTTTCTACAAATGGGAGGGCAATGCCCGAGGTAGTATAAAGTGAGCTGAAGGCAGGGTGACTACAGACCCCATTTCTACATTCGGGTTCCAAATAGCACAAGGTCCCTGGGTGGGCTGTCTGCTCGGAGTGGATTTTGAACGGTGCCTTCTCTCTCCTCTTGCTCTGAATGTAACCTGCTGTCACTCTGAGGGACAAGCAAATGGCATCCATGACTCTGCTCCTGGGACTCCTGTGGGGGTGGGGGGCATAGCAGGTGGGACTGGGTTGATGGGCCTGTGGCCACTAGTCATCCAGCATTTACCGGCACCCACCAGTAGCCAGACACTAAGCTACAAAGGCAGACAGTAAACTCTGACCTTGAGCCCTCCAGGCCAAACCTGGGAAAGACAGACCTGCAAATAGATCAAATGCAACCCAAGCCAGGATAATCCAGG